ATCCTGGTGGTGGGCGGCGTGGATGCGGCACAGAGCCCTCTCGCCTCCGTCGAGGTCTACCACGTGGATGAGGGCAAGTGGGAAAAGAAGGCGGCGCTGGCGCAGCCCTCCATGGGCATCTCGGCTGTGCAGAGAGGTGAGGGCTGGGGCTGGGGCTCGGCTGCAGGCACCTCTGCTGTCTGGAGAAGCAGAGATGCAGGGGTCAGGGATGCTCGGGTGGGATTTGAATCCTGCTGCTGCTTGGGATGCGGCATGAGGCTTTCACCCAGCAGCTGAACTTGCCACTAAATGGCAGGGTCATGCTCCTGCCCCCACAGCCCCATTGCAGCCCAGGGCTGGGTGATGTAAAGCCTCTTTTGGCACAGGAACCTTTCCTGGCCATGCCAGGGTGGCTGAGCACCCTGTTTCAGCCAAGCTCAGCGTGCTGTGCACTGAGCACATTGTGATTCCTGCCCAAACTTTACTGATCAGCCTCTGAGCCTTGGCACACCCTGGCAGGGCACCTGCTGGGAGCCAGGGTTGGTCCCCATGTGCAGTGGCTGTGTTTGCTCCCCGGCTGGGGGCCTCCCTGGCTGGGGACACCGTGGCATGGCCCTGGGCTGCAGCAGGGCGGGCAGGGCAGAGGGGCCAGCAGGGCAGCAATAGGAGCAGACAGGGGTGCCGGCTGCACCGGGAGCAGGAGCAGGATTTGGCAGCATAGCTGTGTTGCCATGGAGTCTCCAGGGAGATGGTACTGCCGAGAATAATTAGAGCCAATGGCCTTGTGATCCGCTCTGCACCTGATGGATGGGGTGGAGAGGGGGGCAAAGGGGTCCCAGAGGGTCAGAGCACTGCGAGGCTCAGGGCTGGCCACACTCACCGTCCTCTGGACACCCCAAAGTGATGGCTGGCCGTGGGGCTCAGCAGCACCTGTGCTGCTTACCCTGGAGGGGATGGAGGGGCTGCCAGCCCCTTGGCGCGGCCCATGGCTGTCCCCTCACCGCCGCCTCTTTTGCAGATGGAGCTGTCTACGCGCTTGGGGGAATGGGTGCGGACACCTCTCCCCAGGCGCTGGTCCGTGTCTACGAGCCAGCAAAGGACCACTGGCAGCCCCTGCCCTCCATGCCCACCCCCTGCTACGGGGCCTCTGCCTTCCTGCATGGCAACAAGATCTTTGTCCTGGGTAGGTGCTGCTAGGGCAAGCCAAGCGTCTCCCCACAGCCCAGGGCTGCCTCCCCGTATCAGGGGGTGACCGATGCGCCCCAGGGTGGCTCCACGCCGTCCCGCTGCTCCGGCACTGCACCCG